CAAAGTAATAACTTACTTTGAGTCTTAATTACAAAGTCCTTTCCAAAATATGGTGCTCTTCCAGTGAAAAAAGAAAAGGTACCATATAATTAATTCTGCAGATATTCATTGGAAAAGAAACATTGTATTTGATTCTGGGGATACAAAATACAAACAGGTGTGGTATTTGCTTTCTTTTTTTTTTTTTTTGAGACAGAGTCTCACTCTGTCGCCCAGGCTGGAGTGCAGTGGCCGGGTCTCAGCTCACTGCAAGCTCCGCCTCCCGGGTTTACGCCATTCTCCTGCCTCAGCCTCCCAGGTAGCTGGGACTAAAGGCGCCCACCACCTCGCCCGGCTAGTTTTTTGTATTTTTTAGTAGAGACAGGGTTTCACCGTGTTAGCCAGGATGGTCTCGATCTCCTGACCTCGTGATCCGCCCGTCTCGGCCTCCCAAAGTGCTGGGATTACAGGCTTGAGCCACCGCACCCGGCCGGTATTTGCTTTCTAAGAACTTTCATTCCATTCCAGGAATTGTCCTGACTTCCCTTCAATTCATACCCCTCCTTTTAAGTTTCCAACTCTGGGTAAATTTCATCCTATGCTTTCTTCACTCCAACTCCAGAGCTTAAGGTTATTGCTGAATTAAGCCACACAACCACGCCATTTGATCCACAGTTCCTCTTTTTCTCACTTTTCTTTGCCATTTTCCACAAGAATAGTTCCAGTATTTTATTTTTTCCTCATGCCCATGATGCCATTCCTCATCTTTTCACATGATAGGAACACCTGAACTTCCTTTCTTCCCCACTTGACTCTGCTTCATGATCTGTAGCCTTCAACATTTTGGATCTCTTCATTATTTGAAAAACTGTTCTATTTTATAATTGTATGTGAACAAGTCTAATTTCCTGTGAAATATTTGAGCACAGGGACCATTCTTGTTCATCTCTGTGTTCCTTGTGTTTGAAATTATTCCACATGACCATGAGTGATTGGTGGTTTCTTGATCGTCTGCATTAGATAGGGCTGGATATTGGTTGGTTCCAGTATACTCTCTGCAAGCTTCCTTTTTTGAATCCAGAAGCATATTTGAACAGTCAAAACCTGGCAAAATTGCTGTTTAGTGTCATATTTTAAAAACACATTTCCATTATCAATTATTTTGGTACTGAATGCATTTTGACTGAAGCAATAGGGATCAACTTTTGTGACCGATTTCACACCCATTATTTCTGATTATACTGTACTCCTGTACTGTAGGAGTACAGTATGTATGTAACCAAATGTAATTGGTAGTAGAATTTGACCAGTTCCTAGTTAGGTAGTTAATATGTTCTGTCTAAGAAATTTACATTTAGTTATATAGTAGTTTCTTATCAGATGTAGATTAGTGGGAAAGTTGTTTTGAAGTAATTAAACACTTTTCCTAACAATAGAAGGCTAATTTGCGTTCTTATTTTTGTTAGATAAGAATATTAGTAGGCTGTTTGCGGTGGCTTACGCCTGTAATTCCAGTACTTTGGGAGGCTGAGGCAGGCGGATCACGAGGTCAGGAGATGGAGACCATCCTGGCTAACACAGTGAAACCCCGTCTCTACTGAAAGTACAAAAACAAAATTAGCTGATGTGTTGGTGGGCGCCTGTAGTCCCAGCTACTCGGGAGGCTGAAGCAGGAAAATGACATGAACCTGGGAGGCGGAGCTTGCAGTGAGCCATGATCGCGCCACTGCACTCCAGCCTGGGGGACAGAGCAAGGCTCTGTCTCAAAAAAAAAAAGAAAGAAAAATAGAATATTAGTAGTACAGTGGTAGACACAAATAGCTAGATTTTTGATATTGACCAAATATTTTATAAATAAATTTATAGAACAGTATTGTGTACAGAATAGTTTTCTTTAAAGCTTATGTGCTTAACAATTAGAGTAAAAAAAAAAAAAAACCTGTGATAACATTCTTTACTTTTTTTTTTTTTCCTTTTTTCTCTTTTTAGGCCTCATTGCTACGATTTCAGAGTACCCTGGTAATAGCTGAGCATGCAAATGATTCCCTAGCACCCATTACTTTAAATACTATTACTGCAGCCACACGCCTTGGAGGTGAAGTGTCCTGCTTAGTAGCTGGAACCAAATGTGACAAGGTGAGAAATTTTTAAGGTCAGCCATAGCAAATATAATCTCCATCAAGAGACAGGAAAAGATGGCAACAGAGAATTATGTTGAGGACTGTAACCCAAACTGGGCTCTAATCCTCATTAAATGGCCAGTGTCACAACCATTACCATGTGTGAAAAAGGAACTAAAAGGTTTCCTCACTAAGTATTTTATCTTTTGAAATGAGGTAGAATACTTGATTTAGTTCCACTGGCACCATCATGTGCCATCAGGTACCAAGTAGAATGATAATATTTGAGTCCCCTTAGAGGTTAATAACTGATCTCTTTTTTGTGTTGATGAATATACTTGCTAATTGCTTCTAATTCCTGAAAGTGGTAAATCTGGACAATGTAATATGGATGTTTTAATTGGTAGAAGAATTTGAATGTTAAGTACTATTCTTTCCAAACTCTAGCTGGTACTGAAAGATGTTCTTGTTTTTTTTGTTGTTGTTGTTGTTGTTGCTGCTATTGTTGAAATCAGATGATAACAGCTTGGGACGCTAACCCTCTAGAAAGGTGCTAGGATATGATTTGCAGGGTCTGTGCCACTGGGCTGCAATGTAGATGAGTGCTTCAATTAAGCTTACATAGCTTGAGCCACCAGTTCCCTCTCACATGGTGTAGGAGTTGCTGAGTGTGTAGTTGGGGGCTTAAACTTCACAGAGGAATAAATCCGAAGGGAGTATGTTTTGAGGATTTTATGTTTTATTAAATAAGTGATGCTGGCCGGGCATGGTGGCTTATGCCTGTAATCTCAGGACTTCGGGAGGCTGAGGTGGGTGGATCACTTGAGGTCAGGTGTTTGAGACCAGCCTGGGCAACATGGTGAAACCCTGTCTCTACTAAAAATATAAAAATTAGCCGATGTGGTGGTGCATGCCTGTAGTCCCAGCTACTTGGAAGGCTGAGGCACAAGAACCACTTGAACCTGGGTGGCAGAGGTTGCAATAAGCAGAGATTGTACCACTGCACTCCAGCCTGGGTAACAAAGTGAGACTGTCTCAAAAAATATATTAAAAATAACAATAATTCAGAGCATGTGAGAATGCAGATTCATACTGCTGGTGTTGCTTCTGATTTTTTACGTGAAATTGATATCTTAAAAGAACATATTATGGTGGGTTTATGTTTAGTTATGTGGGTTTCTTTACCCAATTCCTGCTAACAACTATAGAATCTTACATAGTTGATATAGCCACAATGTGTGATGTGTGATGGCTAAGCTATCTATTTGTATGTATATATTAGCCACAGTATATGCTGGCTAAGCCATCTTTTTGGTTTCCCTGTTTTTGGATATGTAGGAATTTGTGATTTGTTGTTTGTTTTGCTGTGATTTAAAATAATTATTGTAATGTTACTTTAAAAATACTTTGATACTTTATACTACTTTGAGAAGAATCAAAATAGAAATCATCTTCTGTACTCAGTTACAATCCTAACCTGTCATGTTCTGATTTTAAAGAAAACAACCAATACCTGTATGAAGAGATCCTTAATAGAGTTCAGCTTTATAGCATTTTATTCAGCTATTTGTCATAAACAGCAAGTTATTCTTCTGTATAATGCCAGCAGTTTTTGCCAGTAAAAACAAGAGAGTTTCAATGGGAAAATTCTGCCCCATTTTCTATCCCATGCTGCTATGCAGCTACATTGCAATTAACTGAGTTTCTTAATTGGGAATTCTCTTAAAGTTTGAGAAGCTAAATTCTGCTGCATCCATAATAGAGGGCCTCTGTAGTACAAAATGGTATGCCGGTGAACACTTGGTTTAGGAGAGGTATTTTTGCAGTGCGTCCTTTCTTCAGTGAATATTGTTGCAAGCTAACAGTTCATATGAGGGTAGCAGAAGGCACAGCCTTTTAATCCTACTCATCAGTGAATCAGTGAATCAGTTTGGAGGTAAACAAGGAGACAGAAGACGATAGTATGACTGATATGACTTAGCTAAAGTGGAAACCAGCCATGATGTAATAAAGATACGTAAAAAGGGGAAATCTAATTGCCTTCTGAATATAGAAAATCTGAATGATCACAAAGCTTTCTCAGAACCCCATTCTGATTCCAAACAGGAAAAATGAAGAATTAAAATAGGAAATATTTTGCTTTGTCATAGATAAATGTGTGTATGTGGTTGACAATGGGATGTTACTAAGAGAATTTCATTTTCACCATTTCCAGGATATTGAACTTACACTTGGATTGAACCAAAAGTAAAAAGCACAGTTTATAACTAAATTTGAAAAAAGAGCCATGTTGATTTTGGTTTGTCAATTAGCACTTTTCCTTTTTCAAGGCAGACATTTTTGTTGAAATGCTTGGTAGTTGGACAGTATGAGGTCAGTCAGTAGTAAGATCTATTGGCATTAGATTTTCTTTGTTAAGGAATGTATTTTAATATTTTAATCTTTTTTTGTTTGTTTGTTTGTTTGAGACAGAGTTTCACTCTTTTGCCCAGTCTGGAGTAAAGTGGTGTGATCTTGGCTCACTGTAACCTCCGCCTCCTGGGTTCAAGTGATTCGCTTGCCTCAGTCTCCCAAGTAGCTGGGATTACAGGCACCCACCACCATACCTAGCTAATTTTTGTATTTTTAGTAGAGATGAGGTTTCACCATGTTGGCCAGGCTGGTCTCGAACTCCTGACTCCAGTGATCTGCCTGCCTCAGCCTCTCAAAGTACTGGGTTTACAGGCTTGAGCCCCTGTGCCCGGCCAGAATATATTTTAATTCTTAACTGGCCCTTTTGCTAATAAGAGTAATTTTTACAGTTGGCCATTAAGATTTTATGATCTGTTGATATTTATAGTGGTGGCTTTATTTGTATATTTCTGATAGATGGATAATTAGGAACTTATCTTTTAATCACAGGTGGCACAAGATCTCTGTAAAGTAGCAGGCATAGCAAAAGTTCTGGTGGCTCAGCATGATGCGTACAGAGGCCTACTTGCAGGTGAGGTTTTCCAGTGGAAAAAAATGTCATGTGTAAATTGTGCTTGAATATATGATTATGAAAGTAATCCAAAATATTTTTTATCAAATGTGTTTAATTCTCAGAGGAACTGACACCATTGATTTTGGCAACTCAGAAACAGTTCAATTACACACACATCTGTGCTGGAGCATCTGCCTTCGGAAAGGTGAGAAGGTTGAGAATGTGGAATCTGATGTCACTGCTTGAAGGGGTTAGATTTCATTGTGCTGAAAGTGTGCAACAGATTGTTTATATAGCCAATCTGGATTTATCTGAATTGATGTGGTAGTTTTGCTAAAATTTATTCTTTCAAGATTTTGTCATAATTTTCTGTTAAAAAACTACCATTTCCAGGTTTTCAAATTAAGTTGTGGAGAAAACTCTAATTAGGCTATTATTTTAAAATTTTCTGCGTTTAAAAGTAATGATGAATTCTGCTTGCATGTGAGAGAGAGCGAGCGAGCAAACGAACAAGAGTCATTTGTATTAGTAGCCTGTTTTAAGAGATGGTTTATTTGGGTGGCTAATGGATATCTAGAAAAGCCAAATTTTATCTACATGGGGAATTTGGAAAGGGCTGTGTAGTGGTTGAAGACATCCTTAAGGTAAAGAAAGCTGTAATCTGATCATGTGCATTGTGATGTATCTGAAGAATTGAGTGTGTTACCAGATGGGTAGCAGTCTACATAAAGTTAAAAATGGGGTGGAGGAGCGTAATGGGAGCCTAAGACAAGGAATGTGTCGTGGATTTTTCTTGCTCTCTGTGGCCGTGAGTGTTATCTTAGCTCTCTTTTCTTTTATTCCATTCTTAATAAGGTGTCATTTTTAGTCTTTATTTTTACTTTTTTTTTTTTTTTTTTTTTGAGATGGTGTCTTACTTTTGTCGCCCAGGCTGGAGTGTAGCAGCATAATCTTAGCTCACTGCAACCTCCACCTCCTGGATTCAAGCCATTTTCCTGCCTCAGCCTCCCATGTAGCTGGGATTATGGGTGTGTGCCACCATACCTGGCTAATTTTTGTATGTTTAGTAGAGACGGGGTTTCGCCGTGTTGAACAGGCTGGTCTTGAACTCCTGACCTCACGTGATCTGCCTGCCTCAGCCTCGCTCTGTTGCCCAGACTGGAGTGCAGTGGCACGATTGTAGCTCAACATACCCTCCAGCTTGTGGGCTCAAACGATCCTCCTATCCTAGCCTTCTGAGTGGCTAGGACTACAGGTACATGCCACCATGCCCAGCTCATTTTTAAATTTTTTGTATAAATGTAGTCTCCCTGTGTTGTTCAGGCTGGTGTTAAACTCCTGGCCTCAAGTCATCCTCTCATTTCAACCTCCCAAAGTGCTAGGATTATAGACATGAGCCCCTGTGCTTAGCCTATTTTTACTTTTAAAAATTGTGAAATAAGTTATACACGAATACATCCTTATTAGGAAGAATGCATGTAGTACAGCAGTGTGCAGAGCAAGGTGTCAAAGTCCTGCTTTCTTATTCCCAACTCACCCTCCCCTCTTTAGGAGTATAGCTGTTAACAATTGTACATTCTTTTAGGCCTCCTTCTGTGGATTTTTAAATTACAGTACATGTACAGCTATATATTTTTTACTTCTAAAATGGAATAATATGGCATGAATTGTTTTGTGACTAGTAGCTTTTACTTAAGAGTATGACTTAGGCAGGGTGCGGTGGCTGACGCCTGTAATCCCAGCACTTTGGGAGGATCGTCTGAGCCCAGGAGTTCTAGACCAACCTGGGCAATACAGTGAGACCTCATCTCTACAAAAAAAAAAAAAAGAAAAATAAATAAATATTAGCTGAGTATGGTGGTGCATGCCAGTAGTCCCAGCTGCTTGGGAGGCTGAGGTGGGAGGATTGCTTGAGCCCAGAAGGTTGAGGCTGCAGTAAGCTGAGATCAAACTGCTGCACTCTAGCCTGTGCTCCAGGGTGACAGAGCAACACCATCTCAAGAAAAAAAAAAAAAAGAGTATGACTTTGGCTCATAATGTTTCTCTCTTTTTTATGGCTTCATAAGATTCCATATTTAGCTAAGGACAGTTAACTTGTTTCCAGTTTTTTGCATTTATATACTTTGCTGCAAGAAAACATGCTCATGCGTGTATCTGTGTACACATCGGCTGGAATTTATTTACATTAGAGTTCTAGAAGTGAAACCACTGAGTCAAATGCTATGTGGTTTAAAAAATTTGATACCTATTGCTTAATTGCCAACACTTGGTAGTATACATTTTAACATTTTTCCCCCAGTCTGATGGGTGAAAAAATCTTTGTGGACCATTCTGTCTCTGAAAGTTGTGATTGTATATTGGATGATTTAAATAATTTCATGAGCCTTGAGTTTCTTTCTGTGATGACAATTCACCTAACAGATTGTTAGACCATGAAAGGGTGTTTGTCATTAGCTAGATTTTAGTACTCTGGCCATGATTGCTATGTTGTGACAGATGGGAGTTTTGAGAATAAGGGTCACATAATAGTAGCTGGTCGTGCGGCCTGTAAATGGGTTTTGAATGAGAAACGTCTATCAGAAGAAGCCAAACAATTTGCTGTATGATGGTCCTTCACCAGCTGTGGTTTTGAGATAACACACTTTTATACTTGTCTACTAGATTTTAAAATGTCATTTTGTATGCACAAAAAGAACTCAATTATTGCTTCTGCTTCCCAGAAACCATGCAGGCAGCCTGTTGGATGGGATATATTTTTAACAGGATAGATGTTTGTGTACCATCCACCCTCAGGACATTTAGATGGAAGACCAGATTCAGGAAAACATACTTTTTAAGTACCATGGTAAAATTTCTTGAAGCTATGTTAAGACAAGGGATAATGAAAATACAAAAGACATTAAATTTTGAGCAATTTAGAAATTTCTAAAACTTTAAAAAGAGGCAAAGTCTGCATAACATAAAATTTGTAAGATAATCTGTTCAGCCAAGTAACTATTCCAGTAATAATTCCTGAACAGTTAAAGAAGGTGGTTCAGGAGGAGGGTTACTTACTGAAGCTAACTTTAAATACTGACAAATCTGGTTTTTAAACTAGGTTAAGTAGGTGCTTCAGGATGGGCATGGTGGCTTATGCCTGTAATCCCAGCACTTTGGGAGGCCAAGGCAGGAGGATCAGTTGAGGCCAGGAATTCGAGACCAGCCTGGACAACAAAGCAAGACCCCGTCTCTACAGAAAAAAACAAAACATAAATAAAAGAAAATGAGCTGGGTGCGGTAGCATGCGCCTGTAGTCCCAGCTACTCAGGAGGCCGAGGCAGAATAATCTCTTGAGCCCAGGAGTTCAAGGTTATAGTGAGCTATGATCACACCACTGCAACTTCAGCCTGGGTGACAAAATGAGACCCTGTTTCCAAAAAAAAAAAAAAAAGAAGTAACTGGGACTTGGGGAACTGTGACTTGGGTTCCTGCTACTAAGGACAAAGTTAGCACATGCATCTATTTCAGTACAAGCACAAGAACACACCTTTAATTTATTTTTGTTGCTTTTTAAATACATACTACACAGACTGTTCTTCAGGTTAGTGTTATTTTTCTTTTTTCTTTTGAGGCAGAGTCTCGCTCTGTCACCCAGGCTGGAGTGCAGTGGTACGATATCAGCTCACTGCAACCTCCGTCTCCCAGGTTCAAGCAATTCTCATTCTCATGCCTCAGTCTCCTGAGTGGCTGGGACTACAGGCATACACCACAATCCCCAGCTAATTTTTTGTATTTTTAGTAGAGAGGGTGTTTCACCATGTTGGCCACATTGGTCTCAAACTCCTGGCCTCTTGGTTTCAAACTCAGCCTCCCAAAGTGCTGGGGTTACAGGCATCAGCCACTGTACCTGGCCTTATTCTTTTTTTGTGCAATATCAATTTAAACAAAAGGTAAAATGTCTGCTTGGAATGTTTTTATATACGTTAAGTTAATATATACCAGCATAATCTTTTTCAGTATTTGAGAATTTTACCTAAATTTGTTCTATCTTTTCTCATCTAAATTCAATAGTCCACAACTGTCACACTTGGTAATTGATGTTTATTATAGTAAATTTCATATGTCATAATTCAATATGTTGCATTAAGGTGGCTTAATACTGTGAAACTCATATGACTCTTAATGTAGTTAGAGTAATGGTAGGTACTCAATCTCAAAGCCTATTTAAAAAGCTGTGCTTGAAGTTGTATATCCAAAGGTGCACATGAAATATAAAATATTTGAATTAAAATTTCTACAGAATATGCATTTAGAATATGTCATTACTGATCATGTATAGTCATCCATCACTGTGTATGTGTGTAACTCACTGCTTATTTTGCTTTTAGAACCTTTTGCCCAGAGTAGCAGCCAAACTTGAGGTTGCCCCAATTTCTGACATCATTGCAATCAAGACACCTGACACATTTGTGAGAACTATTTATGCAGGTGAGTACTCAAGGAAGATAATTAATCAACATGTTAAATTTTAGTGAAAAGCATAAATTAATCTTGAAGGTAAATTTTAAATCAAGCCATACAATTGCTTTAAGTGGACCATCTTAAAGGTTTCTGAAGAAAATTTTAGTCTAGAATTGCTGGTGGCCCTTGACATGGCATTCTCTTTGATGGATCTCAAGCACAGCGATTTCCTGCCTGTTTATTGAGTTTGTAGAGTGATATTTTCCTAGTGGTTAATAAAAATTAGATTCACTATTTAATATATTTTGTAAGTGGTACCTGGAAAAGCAAAACTTAAAAAAAATAGTATTCTCAATCTTTGCTGCTTCTACTTCATTTCCATCAGCATTAAGAAATTCATTTTAGCCAGCTGCAGTGGCTGGTGCCTATAATCCCAGCACTTTGGCAGGCTGAAGTCGGAGGATTACTTGAACTCAGGAGTTCGAGGCTATCCTGGGCAACATAATAAGACCCCATCTCAAAAACTAAATAAATAAAGAAATAAATAAAAAATTAGCTAGGCATGGTGGCGTGTGCCCGTAGTCATAGATACTTGGGAGGCTGAGGTGGGAGGATTGCTTGAGCCAGAAAGTCAGGGCTATAGTGAGTTGTGATCATGCCACAGCACTCCAGCCTGGGCAACAGAGCAAGACCCTGTCTCAAGAAAAAAAGAAAATAAATTCATTTTAGTGTCTCTTCAGTCGATTGATCTTTTGCTTAGCAAACTGGTCTCTAGTGGAGTTGGAGAAGGCAGTGAACTCTTCGTTTTTTTTCTGATTAAAGTTGTGTATTTCACTATAAATGGCTAATTCTCAAATTAAACTTTTCATCTTCCAGAATGTTTATGGGAAAACATTTTGTCATGGTTTGGGTTACTGTTAATGTGATAGCTAATCCAGAGTGTCTCAAATCCTCTTAAAATCTTGGCACATCCATACCTGTTCTTTATGACCTGTTGTGTTTTCAAGATATTCCTCCTTCAGCATGCATAGTAGCTACATTCTTATTAAGTTGTTGCAGCTCATAGTTTTGAGTTACTGATTGTATTGTTTTTGGAGAAGGAAGCTTTGTTCATATTCCTTTTAGGGGTGTAGTGTACCTTCTTAGTGTGGATGCCTGTTCCAGTTTCTTCCTTCTAGGCATGGTAGTACCTGTCCTGCTTTTAAAGACATCCAGGGTTATACAAATGTCTACTGATACGTTTCTTCACTGTTATGGTCCACTTTTTCCTATACTTAATAGAGTTAGAAGACAACTGGTCAAGGGTTATTTCTTGCCTTGTCTATGAAGTAAATTCCAAGCATCAAAGGAATGCTTGTTTTGTTGCCTTTTGTTGTTGCTTTTAAAAAATAGATTGTATGTTTCAGGAAATGCTGTATGTACAGTGAAGTGTGATGAGAAAGTGAAAGTGTTTTCTGTCCGTGGAACATCTTTTGAAGCTGCAGCAACAAGTGGCGGTACTGCCAGTTCAGAAAAAGGTGAGTGTTCATTTGGAGTTTTTTGGTTTTTCTTATTTTTTTAATTCATAGACTGTATTATAATGAGAGATTACCTCTGCTTACATTTCTAATGCATAGTATTTGAAAGTTCAATTTAAATGATATTCCCAAGCTTATATAAAAATAATAAATATATATAACTTGCATCTTTTTTCACATTATCTTTGGTACTAGGATATTTGCTTTGGTAGATCAAGGGAGTGGGAGACAGGATCTATTAAGATTAAGCTTTTTTACTCTTGTCGCTGTTTCCTATTATATTTGGGTGATTCAATATAACAGAGGAATGTAACAGTAAACATGTGGAGGGTGTTACAGTTTAACATATATAGTGTCTCATTTGAACCTCATAGAAAGAAAGTTATTCCATATTCAGACTCAGAGAATTAAATGATTTCTCAAGTCATACAACTAATGTGGCAAAGGCTGGAATTTAGTCTCCTTAAATCTTTCCATTATCAGAGAGAATTAATTAGGAGCACCAAAAATTCACATTAATTAAATTTCATGGAATTATATACTTGTGTGTTTCTCTTGAAAATAATTATTGTTATAGAACTTGAAATCATAGTCGTTGTTTTATTATATGTGTTAATGTATGCAGCATCAAGTACTTCACCAGTGGAAATATCAGAGTGGCTTGACCAGAAATTAACAAAAAGTGATCGACCAGAGCTAACAGGTGCCAAAGTGGTGGTATCTGGTGGTAAGTGAAATATTAATCTTAAAAGATGTAAACTTAAAATACTTTGATTTTTTTTTTTTTTTTTTAGTATTTATTTTAGAGGTACACAAATCTTTTTCAGATATAAGAAGTTGGGAAGTTTTGGGTATTATTCCCATTTAACCAATTAGGAAAATGAAATTATGAGCATAATACACAGTTTGGGGTTTCTGTTGCACGCCTAGTCACTGGCACCAGGGGGAGCATGGTGTAAATCTCATCTCCATAGCTTTGCCACTTGGTACCGTCTTACTGATGCACTTCCATGTATTCTGCAGAGTATGGTTGGCTTCTGAATTATAGATAGAACTGGCTGGAATTTCAGGGCCATCTTGTGTGTAATTCCTACCCTTCTTTCCACTTGGAAAGATTTCCAGAGTTATCCATGTCTTTGTGTATAACTCTTTGAAAGTTTCTTAACATTTAATATCAAAACTGTTAATATTGCATAAGACATGCTTATTTTTGTACATCATGCTCCTTGTCTTTGAGAACAATGATTTTTTTTATGGCCCACTGACTGACTTTTTGAAAAAATAAGGACTGCTTTGCTTTTTAAATCCTTGCAAATTAAACATCCAACAAAATAAGCTTTCAGACAGCCTTCTGTTGCAAGTGGCATTGAGAAAAAATCATTTAATATTTTGAAGTGATATATCTGACTTGTTTTTTCTTTTCTTTTTTTCTTTTGGAGATGGAGTTTTGCTCTTGTTGCCTAGGCTGGAGTGCAATGGCACAATTTCAGTTCACTGCCACCTCCTGGGTTCAAGCGATTCTCCTGCCTCACCCTCCCAAGTAGCTGGGATTACAGGCATGCGCCACTACGCCTGGCACGGTGACTCACACCTGTAATCTCAGCACTTTCAGAGACTGAGGTGGGTGGATCACCTGAGGTCAGGAGTTCGAGACCAGCCTGGCCAACATAGTGAAACCCCGTCTGTACTAAAAATACAAAAAATTAGCTGGGCATGGTGGTGGATGCCTGTAGTCCCAGCTACTTGGGAGGGTGAGGCAGGAGAATTGCTTGAACCTGGGAGGCTGAGATTGCAGTGAGCCGAGATTGTGCCATTGTATTCCAGCCTGGGCAACAAGAGTGAAACTTCATCTAAATAATAATTATTATTATTATTATTATTTTGTATTTTATACAACAAAAAGCACCAGGCCCTGACTTGTTTATTCACTTATTTATTCAATAAATGTATATTGGTTATCTGTTCCATGACAAGCTTATTGCCAAGTGCTGGAAAAACAGATGAAAAGGCAGAATGCTCTTCCTCTCGAGGAGTTTAAAGTCCTTGAGATGACTCCCATTCAAATAATAGCTTTATGCAGTCATTCAGAGAAATTTATTGAGCATCTATTATATGTAGAGTTTTGTTAAATATTGAGATATGGCAGTGACCAAGATAGATATAGATCCTGAAATTAAAGAGTTTTTATTCTAGTGGGAAAAAACTCATATTAGTTACATAATTAGTTAACTAGTTAATTATAGTAGTATTGAATGCTTTATAGAAGTATAGGAGTGTGATAGGAGAGGTCAGAAAAGGTTTTATAGAGGAGGTGACATGCTTAATATGGCAGTTACATAATATGAAAATTTACTCCAGTATATAAAATAGCAAAATTATTCTAGAATGAATTTGATGTTTGCCTAATTTTTTTGTTTTGTTTTGTTTTTTCATCTTTTAAATGAGGTCGAGGCTTGAAGAGTGGCGAGAACTTTAAGTTGTTGTATGACTTAGCAGATCAACTACATGCTGCAGGTAAAGTTATTTTCCTTAGTAGAAAGATATTCCCTCTTTGTTGGAAATATTTTTTTTCATTATTTCCTTTTTGTATAAGTCTTTCAACCCTACAAATTATTTTACTTTCTGGATTTTTCAGTTTTTCTGTTTGAACCAGTTTTTCTTAAGCCTCCAAGTAAATGGTATATAGCATTCAGTGAGGAGAAGGCCTCCTAGTATCCCTTACATTTGCCTGATCTTAGTAGGTTTTTTCTTCACTTTAAAAATAATGAAATGGGCCAGGCACAGTAATGCTCATCTGTAATCCTAGCACTTTAGGAGGCTGAGGCAGGAGGATTGCTTGAACCCAGGAATTTGAGACCAGCCCTAGCAATGTAGTGAGACCCCATCTCTACAAAATTTAAAAATTAGCCAGGCATATTGGTGTGTGCTTGTAGTCCCAGGTACTTGGGAGGCTAAGGTGGAAGGATTGCTTGAGCTTGAGAGGTGGAGGCAGCAGTGCACTGTGGTTGTGCCACTGCATTCCAGCCTGGGCAACAGAGTGAGGTCCTGTCTCAAAAATGATAATAAAAGACAAAATAATGAAATGTTAGTTTCAGTGCCTACTTCAGATTCAGGAACACCCTGGTTTTTCATCTTTTTTTGGTGGTCTTAATATAAATCTCATACAAATAGAAATACGTTTAAAGTTTTTAAGTTCATAGTTAAAAATTTAAAACTGTAGTTAACCATTTATAGGTAAGGTAGAACCTATTGCTAAAAGTGCATTGATGAGAAGAGAGTGATGGTTTCTGAAAATCCAAAAAAATTTAAGCCAGGTGTGGTAGCTTGTGTCTGTAATCCCAGATACTTGGGAGGCTAAGTTAGGAGGATTGCTTGAGCCTAAGAGTTTGAGACCAGCCTAGGCAACATAATTGAGACCCTGTTTCAAAAATAATCTTTTTAAATACATTTGATTATTTTTGAATTATACAGTCACTACAATTAATATATATTAAAATGTCCCAATTCTATCATCTCACCCTCCTTTTAAGGGTTTTACATATAACTTTCCAGGGTTTTCCTGTAACTTTCTGTGGTTTTCCTGTGCATTTCTATTACATAACATGTGTACCCATAGAAACAGTAATAGTTTTGTCAGAATAAAGGCATTATATAGACACTGTATAATCAGATGGTAGTATTTCAGGGTTTATTTTCATTCATTCTTTCTTTGAACAAGTATTTATCAAGTGTCTGCCATATTCCAGATACTATTTTAGGTGCTATTAGTTTATTTTGGCTACAGTAATAAGTTACTACAAACTTGGTAGCTTTAAGCAACAAAGTTTTTCTCTCACAGCTTTGGAGGCCAGAGGTGTGTTGAAGTGTTAGCAGGGGCCATACTCCCTCGGGGGGCTCTAGGAGATAATCTGTTATTTTCCTCTTCCAGCTTCTGGTGGGTACTCTGATATTCCTGGGCTTGTGGCCACATCACTACAACTTCTACCTCTGTCTTCATATCATCTTCTCTGTGGGACTGCATTCAATCTCCTTCTGTGTCCCTCTTATAAGGATACATGCCGGGCGCAGTGTCTCATGCCTGTAATCCCAGCACTTTGGGAGACCAAGGTGGGCGGATCACCTGAGGTCCAGAGTTCGAGATTAGCCTGGACAACATGGTGAAAGACCGTCTGTACCAAAAATATAAAAATTAGTTTGGTGTGGCGGCGCACACCTGTAATCCCAGCTACTTGTGAGGCTGAGGCAGGAGAATTCCTTGAACCCAGAAGGCGGAGGTTGCAGTGAGCTGAGATTGTGCCACTGTACTCCAGCCTGGGTAACAGAGCGGGACTCCGTCTCAAAAACAAAAAAGATACATGTAATGGCATTTAGGGCCCACGTAGATAATCCAGGATAAACTCCCTCTCAGGATCCTTAGCTTTATATCATATCTGCTGCCACGTAGGTAATATTCACAGGTTCTGGGGATTAGGACGTGAATATATCTTTGGAGGGGCCATTTTCTTGTCTACTACAGACACTAACACAATAAATTAGTAAATAATATAATATGGGCCAGGTGTGGTGGCTTACTCCTGTAGTCACCTGAGGTCAGGAGTTTGAGACCAGCCTGGCCAACATGGAGAAACCCCGTCTCTACTAAAAGATACAAAAATTAGCTGGGCATGGTGCTGCGTGCCTATAGTCCCAGCTGCTTGGGAGACTAAGGCAGGAGAAACACTTGAACCTGGGAGGCAGAGGTTGCAGTGAGCAGAAATCATTTCACTGCACCCCAGCCTGGGCAACAGGGTGAGACTCTGTCTCAAAAAAAAAAAAAAAAAAAGTCGTAAGTGTTAGGGAGACTAATAGAATGGGTAATGGGGGTGAGAATTGGAGGGCAAGATTGAAGTTTAAAATAAGGTAGCCAGATTTGGCCTTAATGAGAAAGAGACATTTGGCTGGGTGTGGTGGCTCATGCCTGGAATCCCAGCAGTTTGGGAGGCCAAGATGGGTGGATCAGTTGAGACCAGGAGTTCAAGACCAATCTGGCCCACATGGTGAAACCCCACCTCTACTAAAAATACAAAAATTAGCTAGGTGAGCAGATTACTTGAGGTCAGGAGTTCAAGACCAGCCTGGCCCACATGTTGAAACCCCACCTCTACTAAATACAAAAATTAGCTGGGTGTGGTGGCACGCACTTGTAGTCCTGGCTACTCAGGTGGCTGAGGTGGGAGGATCACTTGAACTGTGAGGTGGAGGTTGCAGTGAGCTAAGATTGTGCCACTGCACTCTGGCCTGGGTGACAGAGACATTCTATATATAAAAAAAAAAAAAAAGACACCTGAACAAAGGTTTGAAGGAGGTGAGGAAGCAACCCATGAGGAGATCTAGGGGAGAGTGCTCCAGACCAGAGCAACCAGTTAAGTGCAGAGAGCCTGTCTAAGGCAGGAACACATCTGGCCTATTTGACGAACAGGAAGAAGGCCAATGTTGGAATGGAAAGTGCAAAAGAGAAAGTAGTAAGAGAGAAAACTGGGAGGCAACACGAGACAGATCACACAGGGCCTTATAGGACATTGTAAAGAGATTATTTTTCTCTGAATGAAATGGGAAGCCATTTCAAGGTTTGAGCAGAAGAATGACATGATCTAACACATTTTTAAAGGATCACTTTGGCTGCAGTTTTAAGAATAAGCTGTAGGGGGTAAGTACCGTAATGGGGAGATCATTTAGCAGGCTATTATCAGTCATGTAGGTGAGAGATACTCATGGTTTGGACCACGGTAGCTGCAGTTGATGTGGGGAGAAATGGTCAGTTTTGAAATATATATTTGAAGGTAGAGACAAAGGATTTCCCGACAGATTGGATGTGGATTATGAGAGAAAGTATTTGTCCTGGTGAGTGGTAGGATGGAGTTACAGTTAGCTGAGATAAGGAATATCTCGAGTGAAGCAGTTTCCAGGGAGAGATCAGGAGTTCAGTTTTGGGCATGTTAATTTTTGAGATGTCTAATAACAGACACTGAGTAGACATGTCAATTAAGCAGTTGGTATAGGAGTGTGGAGTTCTATGGAGAAGTTTGGGCTAGAGATACATATTTGGGAATCAGTTCATTTGGATGATATTGAAAGCCATGAGACTGGATGAAATTACCAAGGGAGGGAGTATAGATAAAAAAGAGGTCCCGGAGACCAGAGATCTAGCGACTGAAGCAGCATGGCCAAGCCGTGTGGAGTGCGCCTGAGGGGGGAAGCCCACAAACAGGTGGAGGTCTTCAGGCAGAATCTTTTCCAGGAGGCTGAGGAATTCCTCTACAGATTCTTGCCACAGAAAATCATATACCTGAATCAGCTCTTGCAAGAGGACTCCCTCAATGTGGCTGACCTGACTTCCCTCCGGGCCCCACTGGACATCCCCATCCCAGATCCTCCACCCAAGGATGATGAGATGGAAACAGATAAGCAGGAGAAGAAAGAAGTCCCTAAGTGTGGATTTCTCCCTGGGAATGAGAAAGTCCTGTCCCTGCTTGCCCTGGTTAAGCCAGAAGTCTGGACTCTCAAAGAGAAATGCATTCTGGTGATTACCTGGATCCAGCACCTGATCCCCAAGATTGAAGATGGAAATGATTTTGGGGTAGCAATCCAGGAGAAGGTGCTGGAGAGGGTGAATGCTGTCAAGACCAAAGTGGAAGCTTTCCAGACAACCATTTCCAAGTACTTCTCAGAACGTGGGGATGCTGTGGCCAAGGCCTCCAAGGAGACTCATATAATGGATTACCGGGCCTTGGTGCGTGAGCGAGAGGAGGCAGCCTATGGGGAGCTCAGGGCCATGGTGCTGGACCTGAGGGCCTTCTATGCTGAGCTTTATCATATCATCAGCAGCAACCTGGAGAAAATTGTCAACCCAAAGGGTGAAGAGAAGCCATCTATGTACTGAACCCAGGACTAGAAGGAAAATAAATGATCTATATGTTGTATGGGAAAAAAAAAAAAAAAGAGGTCCCAGGCTAGGTGCAGTGGTGTGAGCCTGTAGTCCCCACTACTCAGGAGGCTAAGGCAGGAGGATCTCTTGAGCCCAGGAGTTTGAGGCTGTATTGTGTTATGACTGTGCCTGTGAATAGCTACTGCATTACAGCCTGGGCAACAGAATGAGACTTTGTCTCTTAAGGAGGAAAAAAAAAAAAAAAGGTCTCAAGACTGAGCCATAAACACTGTATGATTAAGAGCTAAGAGAGAAAAGGAGAAAGAAGACCAAAAAGGAGTAGTAAGTTAGTCTAGACAACCAGGGTAGAGGCTATGTTTTGGAACCCATGTGGAGTGTTTCATTGAGGAGGAAAAAATTGATCAACTATGACACACACTTCTAACAGGTCAAGGACGGTAAAGACCGAAGAGTGACTATTGGATTGAACCACTTAGACATCACTGGCTACTTTAAGCAGTTTCAGTGGAGTGATGGAAGCAAAAGTCTCATTAGAGTGGGTTTAAAGGAATAGTCCTGCCAGGTGCAGTGACTTGTACCTATAATCCCAATACTTTGGGAGGCCAAAGTGGGAGGATTGCTTAAGCCTAGGAGTTTAGACCAGCCTGGGCAACATGGCAAAACTCCGTCTCTACAAACAATATCAAAATTAGCCAGGCATGGTGGTATGCACCTGTGGTCCCAGCTGCTTGGGAGGCTGAAGCAGGAGAAATCACTTAAGCCCAGGAGGTTAAGGCTGCAGCGAGCTGTGATTGTGCTACTGCACTCCAGCCTGGGTGACAGAACAAGACCCTGTCTAAGAAAAGAAAATAAAAAATAAAAGGCTAGTCATAGGTAGTGGTTACATGGTTGTATTCACTGTATGATAATACTCTGGAGCAGCACGTTTGTCTTTTTCTGTATGTAGGTTATATTTTAATGAAAAGGTTTTTAGAGATAGAATGGGAGGCCTGGAGTTGGAGACAGTGAATACAGATAACTTTTTTGAGGGATTTTGCTATATAGGGAAGCAGGGAAATGGATGGTAGCTAGAAGAGGAGTCTGGCCAACAGAGGGACCTCATAAAGCTGGGACAGGTAATAACATGCTTCTGTGCTGATGGGAGTGCTCCAGGAGAGGGAAAAGTAGTCATACTTTTTCCCCTTCACATACTTTTTCATTTCACTCAAGGACATCACTCCAGTAATTCTCCCCTGAGGGAAAAGTCAGAATTACTAGAGTGATATCCTTGAGTAGACAAGAGAGAATGTGGACATAGCTGCAGGTGGTGGGTAGATGTGTTACTCGGAGCATGTGGAAATTCTCTTTTGATCCTTTCAGTTTTTTTTAGTGAATAAGAAGCAAAGTCATCAGCTGAGAATGAGGATGCTAAAGAAGTATAGGAAGTTTGAAGAGAGAAGAAAATATATGAAATTATAGTTTAGGAAACAGTGGGCTAATGAAAGGACTAGGGGAACTTAGTATAACTGCCAGGAATTAAGGCTTATTTATTTAGAGGAAAATATACTTCACATGGTTGGATATTTGATGTTTTTCTCCAGTAATGCTGAACTGCAGGAGAAGAGATACGGAAAAAGTGGAAAGGTTGCTTAATCAGCCAGAGATGGAGGTTTTTCTGAGTGTGTGGTGATGTAAGAGGAGAACAGGGAAGTTGAAGGCATAGCAAAGGAATGATTAGAATGATTGATCATAGAATTTAAAGTGGGCAAAAACAACAGGACAATAGGGGAGAGTGAATAGAATTGTAGATTACTGTGGGGTCAGAGGAATGTTGGAAGTGAATGTCAGCTGGAAAGAGGAGGTCAGAAAGACGCTGACAATTGAGACTGTTGAGCAATCTTGGTAAAGAAAATGTCTAGGATATGATCATGGGTGTGGCTGAGGTAGAGTGGTGGGCAAGCTCACTGGAGGAGAGTTGTTCAAATCTCCAAGTGTTGAAATCTCCAGGAATTAAGATAAGACTAATGTAGGTCTTTCGGTTTCCAGTCTGGCATATAAGAAGCTTGGAAGTCACCATTCTGTCCTAACAACAAGTGAAAAACTGAACAAACTGAAGAATCAAAACTCATCTTACATCCATAGGAGAAGCGAGGTTGCATGGCAAACTGGTGTCCCCCAAACTGGAGAAACCAACAAGCAAACAGATAATCACAACTTCCTAGAGCAGAAATCCAAAAGTAGCAACCTCCACAGGAGCTGGTGGTGGGGTAGGGGAACCTGAACTCTTGTTGATGAATTACTGGAGGTTCCATGTTAAAAACTCCAGGTGGGTCGGGCATGGTGTCTCATGTCTGTAATCCCAGCACTTTGGGATGCTGAGGTGGGCAGATCACTTGAGGCCAGGAGTTCAAGACCAGCCTGGCCAACATGGTGAAACCCCATCTTTACTAAACATATAAAAATTAGTCGGGCATGGCAGCATGCATCTGTAGTCTCAGTTACTTGGGAGGCTGGGGCAGAAGAATCACTTGAACCCTGGAGATGGAGGTTGCAGTGAGCCAAGATTGTACCAATATTCTCCAGCCTGGGCAACAGAGTGAGACTCTGGATTTTTGTTTTTTTGACAAAAAACTCTAGGGGTATCCAGTGTGGGCTCCCAACATTTTTGTGAGTTTTACCTTCAGGAGCTCTTCCTCATGGTGAAAATTAGAGAAAAATCACCTCATGCTTCCGATAAGGGGAGGGGAAAGGGAACCACTTAAAAATATGCCAGAGCATTCTGCTCTTCTTAACAAGGTCTGACCTCCTTCAGGAGGAACTGTTTAACCAGAGAGATTAATTTGCTGGGGCTTTATCAGAGCCTAACTGACCTGAGGAAAGGTAAATACTCAACTTCAGCCATTCTAGCCATCCTGTCCCACCTAAGGGAGAGAGAGGAACTAAGAAGCATGTGTAAAGGTCAGTCTCAATATGGTCTTATTGAGGTATGGTCTTAGTAAAAGACCAAGACCTCAACATAGGACTGTAGAATGCTTCCTTTCCCCCAGCACCTTACCACCATGTAATGAAGGCTTAATGACAGCTCTTCCTTTTACCCGTGTATCTCCTGTTGGGCTATCAAGAAAATATTGCGGGATATACTAGAAGGTAAAAGACAGTTTGAAGAGACAGAGAAAGCATCAGAACCACTCAGCCAGAATAATCAGACTGGAAATTTAAGACAACTGGGATTAGTATGCTAAGGTCTCTAATGAATAAAGAGCAAGTAAGATGTGCAATATAAACAGAGGGCTGGAAATCCAAGAAAGAAACAGAAATGCTAGAGATAAAAAACATTGTAGCAGAAATGAAGAATACCTTTTAAGGACTTCTTAGTAGACTGGATATGGCTGAGGAAAGAATCTCTGAGCTCTAGGATCTCAGTAGAAACCTCCAGAACTGAAAAACGAAGAGAAAAAGAACCAGAAGAAGAAGAAAAAAAAAAAAAACAGAAAACCTGAACTGTAATATAATATCTAAGAATTATGGAACAACTACTAAGAGTATAACATGTAATGGGAATACTAGAAGAGGAGAGAAAGGAGCAGAAGCAATATCTGACTGAGGATTTCCCCACATTAATGTCAGATACCAATCCACAGATCTAGGAAACTCAGAGAACACCAAATATGATAAATGCCAGAAGAACTTCACCTACGCCTATCATTTGCAAACTACAGAAAATCAAAAATAAAGAACAAATACTGAAAGAAGCCAGAGGGAAAAATCCACCATACCTATAAATAGCAAAGATAATAATTACATCCGATCTCTTTTCAGAAACCATGCAAGCAAGAAGAGAGTGTAGTAAAATGTTTAAAGTGCTGAGAGAAAACACCCACCAACATAGGATTTTATACCCTGTGAAATTATCCTTTAAAAATGAAAGAGAAATAAAGACTTTCTCAGACAAAAGTTGGCAGAATATGTCATAGACTTGCAAGAAATGTTAAAAGTTCTTCTAGAGAGAAGGAAATGGTAGAGGTCAAAAACTCTGATGTATATAAAACAAGTGAGAGCATTGAAGAGGGAATGAGTGAAGGTAAAATAAGTTTTATTTTTCTTAATTGATCTAATAGGTAACAGTTTGTTTAAAATTATAACATTGTATTCAATTACATATGCTCATGTATTATAATTATGTGCTCATATGTAAGTGAAATGAATCACCATGTAAGAAACAGGAGATAGGGATTAGGATTATCTTGTTATTTAATGGTACTTGTACCACCTGTGAAGTAGTAAAGTGTTATTTGAAAGTGGACTTGTAGTTGTAAATGAATATTGCAAACTCTAGGACCACCACTAAAGTAAAACAAAAATACAACTAATAGCTAAGAAAAGAGACAAAATGGAATTATTTAAAATGCTCAGTTGGTGGAAGACAAAAATAGGAAAAAAGAAGAAGGGCAACAAATAGCTGTTACGAATATGGTAGATATTAATCCAACTATGTCAGTCATTACTTTCAACATCAGTAGTGTAAATGCACCAATTAATGATAAAGATTGTCATAGTGGATGAAAACGTAAGACCCAACTATATGGTGTCTACAAGAAACCCACTTTAAATATAAAAATACATATACCTATAAAGTAAATGAGTGGAGAGAGATATACCATGGTGGTGCTAATTGAAAGAAAGCAGGAGTAGCTATATTAATTTCAGATGGAGCCAATTTAAAGTTAAGTTTTATTAGGTAAATAAAACCTGAGTTTTAATAAACTTAAGTTTTAAGTTCTAAAACTTACATTTCAATAAAACTTAATATAACTTAAGTTTTGCTGATATTGGGCTCTGTATTCCAGGAATCACAGTGTAAGGGTCAGGGATATGGGAGATGGGTGCAGGTTAGGGAGCATGCAGAGCATTGTGGGGATCAGTGTATAGGTTATGAAGGATAACCTTTGAGTTTGGGACTTGTGGGGACAGACATAAATGAAGGGCAGGGTGTAATTAGTCCTGGCTGACTCAAGATAGTGGTGGTGAGGCTGTGCGTGTTTGGAGGTGGTCAGTTGTATTGTCTATGGCTCCCTCTGTCCTTTTCAGCTTGAGATGAAGAGGCCTGAGGCTCATTCTTGACTCCTGCTGGGGAAGAGGTTGTTTTACTCCAAGTATAGGGCTCATTGTTGACTCCTGTTGAATGAGAATAGAAAGCCAGTTAAATTTTATTTATTAATTTGATAGCAAATATTGGTTAAACCTTCATCTTATTATTTGTAACTCTTTATCCAGTATCTTCTCTTTATAGTATTACAAGAGGTAATATTGTAAGACCTTTCTTCAAAACTTATGAAGTTGTTACTTAAAGGAGCATTATATAATGACATTCTAAACATTATAGTGTAAAGTTTATGAATGCCTTTTTGATAAAGCATGCAGAAGAGTTAAGCCTAAATTAAAATCTGAAATACTTGGGTATAAAAAGAAGTTTTTCCTTGAAGCTTTCTGTATAAAATATACTAGTACTTAGAATTCTAAATCAATGTCTTTGTTTACAGTTATCAGGGAATATCCTAACTAGCTGAATAGTAGAGCTTGAAAAAAATGACAACGGCCGGGCGCGGTGGCTCAAGCCTGTAATCCCAGCACTTTGGGAGCCTGAGACGGGCGGATCACGAGGTCAGGAGATCGAGACCATCCTGGCTAACACGGTGAAACCCCGTCTCTACTAAAAAAAATACAAAAAACTAGCCGGGCGAGGTGGCAGGTGCCTGTAGTCCCAGCTACTCGGGAGGCTGAGGCAGGAGAATGGCGTGAACCCGGGAGGTGGAGCTTGCAGTGAACTGAGATCCGGCCACTGCACTCCAGCCTGGGCGACAGAGCGAGACTCCGTCTTAAAAAAAAAGAAATGACAAATATTTTTTCCCCTTAGTTGGTGCTTCCCGTGCTGCTGTTGATGCTGGCTTTGTTCCCAATGACATGCAAGTTGGACAGACAGGAAAAATAGTAGCACCGGTAAGTGTTGCAATAAAATATGCTGTGCCAAATGTTACAGGGATAAGTACTGTATGTATTTGTTGAACAGTGATCTCAGTGATATATCTTACTCAGTGTTCCTGAGCAGTTAGCCAGTATCATGGTGAATATGTCATTTTCACAAGGTCTGTGTAGTTCTTGGTCTCGGTAAAATGCCTAGCGGTTCTTAAATCCAGGTTATTTTTCAAGTATTTTAAAGCAGTGGAACATTTTATCAAATTAAGTCATATTATATCAAATAAAACATTGATAAAAGCAGCATTTTATCAACTCAAATTTATAAGTTCACATTGATAGCATTTATTTGCCATAAAGCCTTTAGAGAGTATACATTCAGTGAGAACAATGAACCTATTTTAATGAACACAGAATTTTGAAATTGGGAGCTGTGAATGACAATTTTAGTCTTACATCTTCCTGAACACCAAGTTTATTTCTGTATTTTGTCTTATGGTATGAATGCCAGAAAATTCTGTTTTACATAGATAAGTGATACTAGAATATTCTTCAGTTAAGCCTATCTAAAACTTAAAAAGGAAGAGCAGGAAATTTTGGTCTCAAAGTTGAATCACTAACAGTTGATAATGACTGTTTATATTTCTTAGGTGATACAGATTTTCAGTGAATAGGAGTCTCAGCCAGTTTAAACTTGTATAGTATGCAGGAAAACATGTTTTTTATATATTTCAAAACAATATGTAGTCTTGTCCATTAAAAAAAATCATACATCCCAGTGCTTTATTCTTTGAGATATTCATTCACAATTTTAAGATACTGTAGTCAATATTTTCAAGGCTTATTTTTGAAGTTTGTTTTGAAGTATTTGTTCAAGTCTTTTGCCTGTTTAAAACTTGAGTTTTTTATCTTCTCTTTGTAGGAGTTTTTTATATAACCTATGTAAAAATTCTTTGTCAGATGTGTGTTGTATTTTTCCCATGCTAGAGCTTCCCATTCATTTTCTTTTGATGAGTGGAGATTTCTAATTTTGATAGTCTAATGTACCAGTCTTTCTTCTTATGGTTAATATGTTTTGTGTTATTCAACTTACTTGAAGTCAGAAAAGAAGATTTAAAGCTTTAAATACATACTAGAACTACTCATAAATTAAGTCACATCATCATGTGGCCTGTTTGCTTGTCATACTGAATTAGGCTGTGAGAGTGGATTTATTGAGCGGATGAGCTTGAGCCTTCCTTGACATTTAATGAGCTCTAGCACACATGCATATACATATATATTTTAAGAGACAAGGTCTTGCTATGTTACCTGGGCTGGAGTGCAGGGGTTGGTCACAGGCATGATCATAACACACCGCAGCCTCTTAACTCCTAGCCTCAATTAATCCTCCCACCTCAGCCTCTTGAGTGGCTGGGACTACAGGTATGTGCTACCATGCCCGACTCGCACACACATTATTTGTGGAAATCTTTCAATTTTACATGAGTAGACATCTGTAGGCCTGATTTCATAAAAGATCAGCAGACTCACAACCTTCTTAACCAAAAATATGTCTACAAGAAATTCAGGCTGGGTACGGTGGCTCATGCCTGTAATCCCAGCACTTTGGGAAGCTGAGGCAGGCGGATCATGAGGTCAGGAGATTGAGATCATCCTGGCTAACATGGTGAAACCCCGTCTCTACTAAAACTACAAAAAAATTAGCCGGGCGTGGTGGCACGTGCCTGTACTCCCAGCTACTGGGGGGGTTGAAGCAGGAGAGTTGTTTGAACCCAGGAGGCGGAGGTTGCAGTGAGCCGAGATTGTGTCACTGCACTCCAGCCTGGGCGACAAGAGCAAGACTGTGTCCCCCCACAAAAAAAGAGGAAATTCAAAGATATACACTGAAGTGACAGAGACTTATTTTGACTGACAGCGTTTGTAGTTATCAAATAGAAGAGTGGCAGGGAGTGGCTGGTGGTATCCTTTCCTATATCGAAAATAAATGGCATACAATCAGCATTATTCAGTATTACTCTTACGGATATAGAACCATTGCAATTTTTTTTCATAAGGAAATGTATTAAATGCTTTGAAGACTTTGACATAAACTGTACAGCCTCCGAGAGAATTTTGATTCATTAACTTGGGTGTGTGTGTATATGTGTATATACACACACACACATATACACATGTGTATGCATAATTTATGTATGTACATTTTGTTAAGGATCTGAAACTATTTTTGGAAACTATAGCTCAAATTTGCAGAAAAGTTACAGAACAAAAAACCTTTATTTTTATGGGCCATTTGAGTAAGTTGCTGTGACTATCCCCAAATATGTTATATAGCACATTCTCCTAATAACCACAATATAACTTTTTAAATTAGGATATCAACATTGAGACATAATAGCATCTAAGCATCAGACCCTGACATTCAGGTTTTGCCTATTATTCCAAAAATGTCCTTTATAGCAAAAGGATATAGTGCAGAGTCACATGTTACATTTTAACTGTCATGTGTCCTTCAATCTTAAATATTAATGGTTCTACAGTCTTACCTTCACTTCATGAGGGAACTGTGAAGATTACCAGACAGCTGTTTTATAGAATGTCCCTCAATTTGGATTTGTCTAATGTCTTCAATTTATGTTATATATCTTGAACAGGAATATCACAGAAGTGATACCTCATCCTATCAGATGGTATACAATTTCATTTGGTCTTTCATTAATGATTTTCACTTTGATTAAGGCAGTATGTGCCAACTTCTCCATGGTAAAGTTACTTTTCCCATTGTAATACATATTTTATATGGAGGTACTTTGAAATGATGTAAATATCCCAGTTTTCCTCAAACTTTTTTTTTTTTTCTTTTTAGACAGTCTCTCTCTGTTGCCGAGGCTGGAGTGCAGTGGTGTGATCTCGGCTCACTGGAACCTCTGCCTCCAGGGTGCAAATGATTCTCATGTCTCAGCCTCCTGAGTACCTTGGATTACAGGCATGCACCAACCCACCCAACTAATTTTTGTATTTTTAGTAGAGACTGGGTTTTGCCATGTTGGCCAGGCTCGTCTGGAACCCCTGGCCTCAAGTGATCCACCCGCCTCGGCTTCCCAAAGTGCTAGGATTACAGGCGTGAGCCGCCATGCCCAGCCATAAACTTTTGATTTATTCATTTATTTATATCAGTATGGACTTATGGTACCTATTTTATTCAATGGGCAAAAATCTATGGTTGTCATTATTATTGATGTATGAATTGTCCCATGTTTGGCTAGTGAGAGGCCCTCTGTGTCTTTTTGACGTGTTCTCATCATTCTTTGAATCTTTTTTTACTTCCTGAAGACAAGATGTTCCAGGCTCATTTTGTATTTTTCCTATCCCATCTCTGGAACCAGTCATTTCTCCAAGGAATCCTGGATCCTTTTGCTGAAGAAAAGTATTTAGAAGCCAATGTCTCAATGCTAGTTACACTCATTGCTGTTGAGATGTCACTGCTCCCATGACATCTCAGTGAAAAAAGCTAGAGAATGTCTGTGGGCATGTGTATGTCTAGGCAAATATATGCATATATATATTTATATACATATACAAACACATATACATTTTATTTCTATATGAGTTGTATATGTTGAAAACCGTGAGTGTCCACTGATATCTCCAATTCTGGTCTCATACCACAGGGTTAATTCTGGTTTTCTCCCTTTTCCTATTTGTATATGCCTTTCTCCTATGGTGAGAAACCTAGACATTGCCAGTACTCTACCCTGCACAGACGCCCTCTTTGCCTCACTTGAGCTCCAACACCTGGAACCAAACAGTCTTCCTGTATAGATACCCTCCCCACCCTACTTGGACTCTGGCATATCTGTCTAGGTAGCTGTTTCCCAAGGTGGCTGCACAATTTTACAGTCGTACCAACTATGTATGTGGGTTCTAGTTGCTCCTCATTTTTACCATTTGGTGTTTTATACATTTTGGTGGATGTTATTGGTTCTAATTTGCATTTCCCTGCAATTAATCTAATGCTTATCTAATGATGATGAACACTGTTGTATTTATTGGCCATTTAAACATCTTCCTTATGAAGTGCCTGTTCAAATCTTTTGCCCTTTTTTTTAATTGAATTGCTTGTTTTCATTATTGAGTTGACATATTTTATATATTCCTTTACAAGTTTCTTGTTAGATATGGGTTTTACAAATATTTTTTCCCAGTCTGTGGCTTACCTATTTATTTTCTTAATGGTATCAAATTGAGGAAATTCCTTTCTGTTTCTAATTTGCTGAGAGTTTTATGAATGTGTGTTGAATTTTGTCAGATGTTTTCTGCATTTGTTGAGATGACTGGATAGCTTTTTGTTGGGGTGATCAGACCCAACACTAGGCCGTGGTGGCTATGAAGTCTGGCAGAGTCAAAGGAATGAGAAAAGACAGGTTAAGAGAGAAAGTGGGAACAGGGGGCCAATGCTAGTATGGAGGCTGCCAAGGCCCCAAGCTCTGGGAGCCCATGCTGTTTATTGGTGATCAAGCAAAGAAACAGGTGGTGAGGATGTAGGGGTTGAAAGGAAGTGATGTATCAAGCGAATGAGCTACAGCTGTGATGGTTTAGCATTTTCTTTGAAACATATGGCTACTTGAGATAATGGGTGTGCTAGAAGCAAGGAGCCAGCAAGTTTAGACAGGTTCCAAAGGCTACAAGGTATTTTAGACCCTGGACCCCAGACATATTCCAAGAGTCTTTTATATTATGTCAGACATGCAAGCCCTGCCTCAGCTTCTCTCCCAACACTCAGCTTTTCTCCCAACATGCCCCCCTTTTCTTTTTTGTGAAACCACCACAGCTATCCTTGCTTGTTCTCGAGGGCGGCTTTCTTTCCAGTGGTGGCTTCCGCATCTGTAGACTAAAAGGAGACAGCACAAGCACATAAATATTGGAACAAAATCTGCAAGTGTAGAGCTTCCAGTGGCCTTAATCCATTTAAGAGGATTGATTGTAGACAACCCATCAGCTATCATGTTGAAAATATCAGTTGC